CTAACCCCAGCTTTCCTCTGATTGAAGGACATATTTTTGCAGTTTAGTTGATTCCTACAAGAGGCATAAGTTACTAATTCAAATGTCAATTAGCCTCCAACATCTACCTATTCTTCTACCCTGCATGGAAAAGTTTTCTATCAGTAACCTTATTTTTTTTTTCAGACAAAACAAACCCAAAATAATAAAACAGACCACAATTAAACCTGTAAACTATGAGGACTAAAATTCTCAAGATGTCAATTTGAAAAGAGATAAAGACAGTCCAAAATACAATGAAATGGTCGCGTAGGCTTTTACACAACTAACAAAAACTTCATGAAAGCATTTTATGTTCTACTGTTTGTTCCCAGGAAAAAAGGATAACCAGAAGTCAGACACACTGATTTTCAGTTTTGAAGGCAAGAGCTACAGGTGTATCACCAGAAAGAGAGCAGAAATATCCCTAGCATAAACAAGTTTTGCTCCTTTTCTGTAACCAGATACAAGCTGTTATTTTTTGGAAAAAAAAAGGAGACTTTACGGAGTAGGAGATGATCAAGGAGATTAGAGAGAAGATCAATGACAGAAACCACTGAAACAGGTCATTATAGAAAGGGATACGGAAGTAGTGTGTACTAGGGGAGAAGATACTAAACTTTGCATTAGATACAGTTGTCTGTAACAAACTCCTGTTTTCTTCATGCATATTACTACTAAAAACAGTGCCAAAAAGAGAAGAACCAGGAATACTATTTTTCAACCAACACTAGCTGTTCATTTAAATAAATGTTAAAAAGACAGAAAGGAGACAGGATAAGCAATTAGTCTGTAGCTTTCAAGGACTGTAAAGAGAATGGTGGTAGTCTACTGATACAATCTGGATTGCTACTGGGAGCTGTATTTTTTTTGCTTATGTTTGGTAATGACAGAAAAAAAAGCACCACCAAGACTGACATACTAGGTAGGGAGGGGAAAGAAAAGATACTGTACTCCATTTGTTTCCAGAGTATTACATCTTTCACCTTGCTTCTGAAAAGAGGTCAAAGCATATGCCTTCTCATCTGCTTCTTACAACAGAAGGCTCAAACTTAAAATATTTTGCCAATGCAATCTTACTCATACTCTATGTAACACTCCCAATTAAATGTTACTGTTTTGCATTCATGAAAAAATGGTTTATTGCCTTGAGTATGGAGTCAGATCTATCACCAACTAACCCTGCCAGACAACCATCAATTAATGCCAAATATATAATCCACTTGCTTTTCAACTGGCTTATAATATATTCCCTGGAAAATTCCTCCCAGAGAAAGGGGTGCCATTCACATTAGAAAGCTATTTTTATGATCTGTGCCTATAAAGGCTACCTCAGTGAAATATGAGATAGTAAGAGCTTTTCTCATCCAGCTTATTTATTTGTGGGGAGCTGTTATTCTCAGGGACTATAATAGACCCAAACAAAAACGTAGTCTGAAGGGACCTCTGAAGGTCACCTAGTTGAATCTCCTGATAACTCCAAAGCTGGACTGTACACTGTGTTGAATCTTGCAAAGTTTTAAATA